CCTGATGATCTTTCTTTCCACGTAGAGAAAATCACTGTAGTACCTGTGAGTCTGGAGAAGAAGATTTTTGAAATATTGGATAATTTTCCCTTTGGGGCCCCGCCCTGGCCCCAGGGGTGGGGGTAGGAATCCCAATTTTACAATTTTGAAGCCTCATCATCCATCCACTGGTTCTTGAGAAGAAGTTGAAAATGTAAAAGTTTACGCACGACGCACGACGGACGACGGACGACGGACGACGGACGACGGACGACGACGGACGAAAAGCGATTGGAATAGGTCACTTGAGCAAAGCTCAGGTGACCTAAAAACATTATATTAAATCAAGTTCATTAAATGACTGTGATCTTACAATTTTCTTTGCTTTTGAGGAAAAACACAACAGTGTCCAGCTGTCGTTGCTTCAGCCCTATCTCCAGCGTACGGATGGGGATCGAGCAGCGCCCCCACTTGTTTATATGGCAAAGGGTGTCAGCTACACTCGCTCCTGCATACACCATCATCTATAAGGGGAGATAAGTCATTATGTAACAGACAGTAGATCATGCACTTGTTGATGAACATGTAAATGTATCAGATTGTGTTTTTAACTACAATTTCAGACAATCACCTTTAAGGATGTTCAAACCATTGCAGGCAAATATTTGAACATGATCGGAAAAATAATATTCAGATCAGGTTACACTACAATAGACTGTAAGTATGGTACAAGAAAAACACCATTTAATTCTTGTCCACATATAATTCTTTAGGATACAACCTTCACTCCTAACATGAACCTTGCCATCAGTTTAAGAAATACACTGTAACCTGTGGCTTCATTACCTTGCTAACAAAATCTTCTTGTCCAATAGTCTGGTCCATGACGACGCCCATTAGGTGGGTCGGTGTCGTGATGAAGTGAGGGAAGTTTGGGTCGCGGGACAGAATCACCCGACTCTGGGAACACAGTCTGAAAGGAGGAAAACATTGCAACATGATTTGAGCAACAACTTAACCTATTTACTGCAGCAAAGTCTTGGTAATCCAGCTATCTTTGTTCCTGGCTGGCAGAGTGGCTGTATTGTAAAAGTTCCTGATTAATTGGGAAGTTTGGTACATGTACAGACAATCTTTCCACTAAAACACTTGGTTGGATTAGCAAGACTTTACTTTATATACATTATGTAGGTTACTTTGTGATTATCATTGTGACATACGTGTACTGCCCTATTTATTTCCTGTGATAGCAAAATGTTGAAAAATCAATTTCTAAATAATTTAGATGAGTGAGTCAACATCATATTATGACTGTATTCTTAGAAAATTATAAATGAAAGTATTCCCTCCAATATCAAATCTTCTGATTCAATTTTGCAATCTTCTGAGGTTTTTTTGTCTTGTTCAACTATTTTCTGAATATTGTTACTATATATATCAATATAATGCCTAATCTTTCAAATTAAAAAACAAAATTAATTTTAAAATATACTTCACCGAGTATTTTATCTACAGACATCCAGCTACTTATGTTGCCCACATTTTGATTTATGTAGTTTTATAAAAGTGACTGTGAAAAAGACAGTAAGTTCTGTGTGTAAATAATATTCAGAATAAATCCTACCTTTCTGTTGTTACTGTGGAGGTTTTTGTGTCACACACACACAGGAAGTTTTCCTTGTCCGAGTGAAACACCAGGGAGACTACAGATTTACCGAGGGTTGTGTCAACAATTGACAGATTCTGTAGAGAGGGAGGCAAAAACACTTTCCCTATCAAAAAAGAATTGATTTTATTTTCTTGAACTTTGGACTTCCCGAGAAATCCAGAAACCTTCCAACGCTTCTTGGTGACAGCGTAACTCCCTACTTTTACATTGTGTTTGACTTGATACCAGGGAGTGCTCTTTGTTTCGCTGTGCTGTCCGTGAAGTGTCAGTAATTTCTCCCTCCACACCACATCTCCGACGTCACAAGTGAGACAGGAACCGTGGCTGGTGTCCCCTCCTGTGGTATCTGTGGAAGTGATGGTCTCCACACAAACAGGGTTGTCTTGTGCGTATTGTTCCAAGTCCACTACAGTCACGGACAATGTGTTCTCGACAAACATCAGAGTCTGCAGGTCACGTGATACCTGCCATCTTATCAGACGATCTGGCTCTATATTTGTCCTATAAAGATCCACTTGGCAAAATAAATTGCCAGTTTCAATTTCATAGAAATCTGATAATATTTAAGGAACCATACATATTAAACACAAACATTGCATCCAAAAGAGCAGAAATCATCTGAATGACACCACATACAATTTAAGGTAATAGGATTGTATCACCATTTCTCAGTAGAATTTCTTCAAATTTTGTAGTTATATTGCTTTGAAGTAAAGAAAATTCTCTGCCACAACAAAAATATAGGTTGTCAGAATTTTAAGGATTTTAAATTGAAATTTATGTAAAAAGGAGTGAATTAAAAAAATAAAAAAATAATGAAAGACACAATTTTTGGCAAAATAATGTCAATAAAAATGATACTGACATAGATTAGTATTGCATTAATGTCTATCAATTTAATAAATGCTGAAATTGTGTAAAATGAATTATCAATAAACGATTAAAAATTGACATTTTATAATGAACCCATATACACATAGTAATTGCATGTAAGAGTTATCTGTCTTGAAAACCTTCACAGTAGTGAAATAGGTAGCCGGTTTCCTGAAGTACAGAAAAATGGACACATGGGACTCATTGATAAAAAAACCCTGAATTAATGGCTGGATTGCTTTGAAATACTTTAATATTGAGAGAACACACTGTTCTGTCAATAATAAACATACAATATTCATCAGTTTAATATTAAACATTAGAATATGCAGAAATTGTGATACTGTCTCCCTACATTGGATTTTCAACTAGGGATGTACTTCCTATTTCCATTTATCAATACACTCCTATGACCTTAAATGTGAGAATTTGAAACATGTAGCTGATGTTCAAAATAAATAACCAAAACCAATTAAATTAATTGAAGTATTGATTAAATATGAACTCTCTCTACATACACCTACATGTATTATCAGTAATGAAGTGGTATAGGTTTAAAGATCCCAGTCTTTCTACAGGCAATACACTAGAGAGTTCACAGTGGTTTTTTTTGTATGTACAGTTACCTCCCATTAATTTCATGTTGAATATAACTGTAGCACCATTAGGCCAAGGCACTTCTGTTGAAGGGGTACTTCAGATGGTCTGAGCTACAGTATAACCTTTTGAGGTTCAGGGTTCAAATGGTTTGAGCTACAGTATAACCTTTTGAGGTTCAGAGTTCATATGGTTTGAGCTACATTATAAACCTTTTGAGGTTAAGCGTTCAGATGGTCTGACCTACAGTATAACCTTTTGAGTTCAGGGTTTAGATGGTTTGACCTACAGTATAACCTTTTGAGGTTCGGGGTTCAGATGGTCTGAGCTACAGTATAACCTTTTGAGGTTCAGGTTTCAGATGGTTTGAGCTACAGTATAACCTTTTGAGGCTCAGGGTTCAGATGGTTTGACCTACAGTATAACCTTTTGAGGTTCGGGGTTCAGATGGTCTGAGCTACAGTATAACCTTTTGAGGTTCAGGGTTCAGATTGTTTGACCTACAGTATAACCTTTTGAGGTTCGGGGTTCAGATGGTCTGAGCTACAGTATAAGCTTTTGAGGTTCAGGGTTCAGATGGTCTGAGATACAGTATAACCTTTTGAGGTTCAGAGTTCAGATGGTTTGAGATACATTATAAACCTTTTGAGGTTCAGCGTTCAGATGGTCTGACCTACAGTATAACCTTTTGAGGTTCAGGGTTCAGCTGGTCTGACCTACAATATAACCTTTTGAGGATCAGGGTTCAGATGGTTTGAGCTACAGTATATCCTTTTGAGGTTCAGGGTTCAGATGGTTTGATCTACAGTATAACCTTTTGAGGCTCAGGGTTCAGATGGTTTGACCTACAGTATAGCCTTTTGAGGTTCAGGGTTCAGATGGTCTGACCTACAATATAACCTTATGAGGTTCAGGGTTCAGATGGTTTGAGCTTCAGTATACGTATAACCTTTTGAGGTTCAGGGTTCAGATGGTTTGACCTACAATATATCCTTTTGAGGTTCAGGGTTCAGATGGTTTGACATACAATATAACCTTTTGAGGTTCAGGGTTCAGATAGTTTGACCTACAGTATAACCTTTTGAGGTTCAGGTTTCAGATGGTTTGAGCTACAGTATAACCTTTTGGGGTTCAGGGTTCAGATGGTTTGAGCTACAGTATATCCTTTTGAGGTTCAGGGTTCAGATGGTTTGATCTACAGTATAACCTTTTGAGGCTCAGGGTTCAGATGGTTTGACCTACAGTATAGCCTTTTGAGGTTCAGGGTTCAGATGGTTTGAGCGACAGTATAACCTTTTGAGGCTCAGGGTTCAGATGGTTTGAGCTACAGTATACGTATAACCTTTTGAGGTTCAGGGTTCAGATGGGTTGAGCTACAGTATAACCTTTTGAGGTTCAGATTTCAGATGGTTTGAGCTACAGTATAACCTTTCGAGGGTCAGAGTTCAGATGGTCTGAGCTACAGTATAACCTTTTGAGGTTCAGGGTTCAAATGGTTTGAGCTACAGTATAACCTTTTGAGGTTCAGGTTTCAGATGGTCTGAGCTACAGTATAACCTTTTGAGGTTCAGATTTCAGATGGTTTGAGCTACAGTATAACCTTTCGAGGGTCAGAGTTCAGATGGTCTGAGCTACAGTATAACCTTTTGAGGTTCAGATTTCAGATGGTTTGAGCTACAGTATAACCTTTTGAGGTTCAGGGTTCAGATGGTTTGAGCTACAGTATACGTATAACCTTTTGAGGTTCAGGGTTCAGATGGTCTGACCTACAATATAACCTTTTGAGGTTCAGGGTTCAGATGGTTTGACCTACAGTATAACCTTTTGAGGTTCAGGGTTCAGATGGTTTTAGCTACAGTATAACCTTTTGAGGTTCAGAGTTCAGATGGTTTGAGCTACAGTATAACCTTTTGAGGTTCAGATTTCAGATGGTTTGAGCTACAGTATAACCTTGTAAAGTTCAGAGTTCAGATGGTTTGAGCTACAGTATAACCTTTTGAGGTTCAGAGTTCAGATGGTTTGAGCTACAGTATAACCTTTTGAGGTTCAGGTTTCAGATGGTCTGAGCTACAGTATAACCTTTTGAGGTTCAGGGTTCAGATGGTTTGAGCTACAGTATAACCTTTTGAGGTTCAGGGTTCAGATGGTCTGAGCTACAATATAACCTTTTGAGGTTCAGGGTTCAGATGGTTTGACCTACAGTATAACCTTTTGAGGTTCATGGTTCAGATGGTTTGACCTACAGTATAACCTTTGGAGGTTCAGAGTTCAGATCCTGGTCCAGCCACACTGACTTTTTACACTCAGAACTCTGTTGTTGATTATCATTTTGTTAATTCTGTCTTTCTTATTTTTTTCATAAAGGTCAGTTTCCAATGCATGGTTATATAATTTTTGGAAGTGGTATGGGGATCCTTATGGGCCCAGCAGGGAACTAGAACAACTGTTCTTTATTACTTACCTTGGAAGTGGTATGGGGATCCTCGTGGGCCCAGCAGGGAATTAGAACAACCGATTTATTACTTACTTTATGATGTTTTATTTAATTGGGTCAATTTATATTCACAGGAATGAGACAATTACTAATGAATGCAAAAGATACAGAGTGTGTTTTTGTTCCTGTTGAGTACAGCAGCGACACCGCTGAGGATATGTAGACACTGCTGTGCGTCACCATTAGAGGGTGGTAAAGGGATAGTGCTGACAGCATTAAAACTTTGTGTGTCTCTGAACTGGAGGCAGATCAGGTGAGAGGGCGTGGCCAAAACAACATGTTCCCCTTCTCCGGATATCAGCTGTACACTCTGACAATCTTCGGGAGATAGACCTGTTCAACAATAACATAACTTTGTTTAAATCCTTTACTGAAACATACTCATATTAATATATTTATCTTGATGAAAACCCTTTAAAAAAAAACACATTTTGAATTAGGTTATTATCAAATCTTTTACCTCTAACAGAATCTGTAATAAACATCTATTTTTTTTTTACTGTGGTTATATACAGAATACAGGAATATTTTCATAAACATAAATGAGATCATTCAAAACGAGTTATCTTTTATCATAAAAGAATTAAAAGGCTGTTCCTGGCAATGACTTCCATCTCATAAATTTTGTGAAAACCCAGATTTCAGTATGTGTTATTACTGCTACTTTATATACCAAGATAATATTTTTTATAATGATCTGGCAATTTCATTTCATTTTAGAATTTGTAAATCATATAATTGCAAGTGCCCACAACAATATTACTACAACCCTGTACATGTGATGACACAGAAATATATCATACCTTTTTCTCTGACGACATCCGATACGACTTGTTTTACATCTGTGGTAAGTGTTTCTTCTGTCAATTTTCCTGCCAATATTTCTCCATTCACAGAAAGTGCAACAAATCTGGCAACTCCTTGATCTTTAATCGATGATGATTTTCTATCATATACCCACTGGAATCTGTAAAGAAACAGACATTTACAATTAATATAATCAGGATATTCAATGACTTATGTAACGGAATTCTGAGTCCTGGAATTTCTTTTTTTCACTTGGACCCAATCCTTTGTTTGAATTGATGTGTTATATATATGATTATCAGATCCTACACTGTGGAACAGAATGCTTGGTGGATTTAATCTGAATCAGAATGCTGGAGATAACAGCATCATACTGTGTTAGAGCTGACTACTTAACTTGTAGGGTTATGATTCAAGAGTATTTACATGTATGATCAGGCTTATAGTGAGGTTGAACTGTACATGTAGGTTTAAAGGTACAAGGTAAGTTTATAAACAATTTTTCAAATTATTTGATAGAGTAATAATCATAAAAATAATGTGTCTACCAGAAATTATATTGTTCAACCATATATATATATAACATTTGATTTATGGTCTTGAATTTCGTAGCTAATCCTCTTGGCCTTGCCATTATTATCCCTATATTTTTTTAATGAGATCGAATAAACCTATGACCTATATATATCCACTATTGGACATACACTGGAAACAATGTAGATTGCTATGGTTGTCAAGGATGAATGAACAGCCAACATAAACATGATAATTAGAACATGGCCATTCTATGTAAAATTAATTAAAAGAAAATTGGAACATGGAGGAAGTTTTGATGTATATCTAGACTAGGCCTAGTAAAAATTCATATTTCCGATGGGGATTTTTCAAATAGAACGTTGCAATACTTTAATGTTCCTGTTATATACATACGCTGTAATATTGTTGAGAGGTGCCTCTTGGTCGTTCCTTTTCGTGTGTGAAATTTTTAAAATTTTCACAGTTCTACTGATGGAATGGAGAGCGAGACAGCGATATCTGAGATGTGCATATATTTGCTGTATTTTTGTCAAATCTAATTGTTTGTGGAATTTGTATAAGTAACACCTCAGGTTTTGTGGACAATCTTCCTCCATGTTTTGGTAATTTTTCTCACATCGCCATTTTTAGATCACATGACCATGTTTCGGGAGAAGTAATTTTAACGTTATTGTAACAGTTTTAATTAATGAATCATTGTCAAACGCAAATAGTTTAAAATACATCCTATCATTATATAAAATATGTTTCTGTCCAATTATATATTCTCTGCTGGATTTTTACCATACAATGTATGTGGCCTTTCAATTTTTGCAATCAGGACAGCTCCCCGTTCATAGCGCCACCTTCAAAATCAAAGATGGTGGACATTGCAGACGAATTTTGGCCTATGAACGATGTTCTCGTTTACAAATAACATTAATGTCCAACCAAGTAATTTCTTGTATATGTTAGAGATGTATTCAAGTGGATTTGAGTCTTGAACGACAATTAGCAAAAGAAATTCTTGTTTTTAGTCGGTTATATCCTAGATAAGTGCTTGCGAGAGTCGGGTCATGTATAGAAACCACATGTGTGAATCGACATATGTGTCACAGTGCAAATGAGTGAAGTTCCATTGGATGGTCAAGTGACAGGGGGCGATATGTCTACTAAAGTAAAGATTAAAGCCGAGAAAGACGAAATACCGGTAAAACATTATAAGAACGATGACGATACGGAAAAAGAAAAGGCTGGTATTCCCGATGGTGATAAGGCAGTGCTTCACACTAAATTGTTAGAACAATGTCAACAGGAACTAATAACAGTGAAGGACAAATTAATAAAAACTGAAAGACAGCTAGAGAAGGCAAATGCGTATAACGAAGATTTGCGTGGTGAGCTGGACAAGTTGAGTTCAGAGCTTCACAGTCTAAAAAGGGCAGCAAGAGAGAATAGGACTGATGCAGAAACACAGACGGAGGATCAACAAGGTGCTTTGTTACAGTGCAATCCCCCAAGCTTGTTGACACAAACACTGCTTTTTAATCAAACATAGAAAGAATATATATATATGCCCAGTTGTTGAATTTCTAAATCTAACTCAACATTATGTCATAGCTGTCAACGTATATATGTATACCCTCCCTCATTAGAAGGGAGACTCCTTCATTTTTAACCAAATTTACAGAACTCCCTCATTCAAGTCCAAACTCACACAAACTCAAAATCTACATCATGTGGTCAAAGGATCTCCTACTCCTAGTTACCGCAAGGTGTGTGCAATGACCATAAGAGGTGTGTTTGAATCCAATAAATGTTTTTTGGAGTTATTTTGGTACATGAAAAGGGAACTTCAGATAAATTGAGCAAAGCATTTTCAGTCACATTTCACACACAGTGACACTTTTTCCCTTGTTGAAAATAAGGAATGAGGGAGATCTACCTCTCCCTCATTGGAGGTTTAGTAGGTTAATTTGACATATAATTAACAGCTAAACAATGCATTTATGCATGTAACAATATCAGGGCATTTGTTACATATTGAATTTGCAATTACAATTACCTTTAATATGTGCAAATTTTAGTTAACTCAACAGCTATAATTAATTTGCTAATAGGTGAACAGCTACAGTTGTATCTTTTTTTTATATGTTGATCCCTTTTTTCCCCCCTGAGACATACAATGTAATAAACATAAATAGTTAGAGCTGTTGTGGACCACTGTATACACATGTACATGTAGTAGCAAAATGAAAAACAGCAGAAATTAGTCCAGGGAAAGGGCCTTTATTGATTTAAACATATTTTATTTGTCATTCAACAAAAAGGATTAGGCACAAGTTATCTCAAATTAGAAATGCCCTCTCCTTTATTGACCTGAACAATTATTGAAATCAGAAATCAGCTGACATCCTTCCACTTTTATTACAATCCAACAGTCCATTTTTTTGTGAAGAATTTTGGAGGTCATGTAAATGGAATTACTTTTAAATATCTTTTATGTACTCCAAATACAAAATTTCCCTCTTTCCATTATTTATATAATCATTAAAAAGAAATATTGTAATAACATTTTTTCTGAACAACTCTAGACAATTTCAGTGTCTGACTTTGTTTTTTTCTCCATCAGACAGTTCCACTGAAAGACATGGATTATCTGAAGATCAGGCCATAGTGATTGATGATTCAATCAATGAGGTATGTACACTATTAAACTGTCAAAAGTTGTAAAGATTTCAAAAAATAATTCATGTGTACTGGGTAAGGTTACAGAAAATATGAAAATAATAGTTTCAGGCCTTTCAGTTGAACCTTGACATTTACCAATTTCCGAATTCAAATGACATTTTCCCTGAAATTTGACAGGTCAAAACACATGTTAGATGTGTCCTTTCAATCCAGAGTGTCAAAAATTAAACAAGCTCACATCGGAAAGTAAAAAACATACATGTACTCTCTGTATCAAGGGTCTTATGAAAGTCCTAGTTTATTTTAACTAACTTTAAGATATTTATGGGTCAGTATTGAATTGAAGTCCTGGAAAATTAATAAATTGTGGAAAACTCAAAGTTTTGTCAAGCCAATTCTGATGAACCATGTCTGTCAGTTTTGACAGGATTATCAATGGAGGAAAGTGTTCATTTGTTTTTTTCTTATTTCAAGGGCAATGAAGACAAAACAGATGGAGATAGTAAGAGGACAACAAAGAGTACTAAAACACTGGAGAGTGCTGAAACAGAAGATGGTGCAAGAACAGACAAGGATGGTAAAGTTAAGGAAAGTGCTTCAACAGAGAGTGATACTAAAACAAAAGATGATAATAAAATGGAACATGATGCTAAAGTAGAGAAGGAGGCCAAAGAAGGAGAAGAACAAGTTTCCAGTACATCCCTGGCTGATGAACTGCGAGCTACAGCCGAGGCAGCTGTACAGCAGACTGGCTATGTGTATGATGAAAACTCTGGACTTTACTACGATTACAACAGTGGATACTACTACAATGCAGTAAGTACACACATTATCTTGGCTTTCATTGGTAGAAATGGGATAATTAATAACGAAAACCTGACCCATACCTGTGGTAAGTAAAACAAGATCCATACCAAAGTAACAGCAATAACAGGTGTTCTTGGTTTTTCCTTGAGTAAAGATTTCATAAAATCTCACTGGTCGCTTTTATATATATGTGCAAGTTTGATTAATGCAATAATTTGTAATAATGTTAAGAAAGATATTTGATATCACCTTGTTATAAAAATAATAATAATAATATACAACATTTGATACAGCGCCCTATCTAGCTAACATAAGCCACTCTAAAGCGCTTTACATTACATAGATATACAATTTATACAATAAGGATATACAATTTTTGAGTAATTAGCAGGAGCTGCCTTATCAAGCGCTAACTACTAGTCCTTTGCCATCTGGCTAATATCTCCCTATGTGTGTATGCCTGCGTGTGTGCTGGAGATGTATTGTGTTCTGTTTGTAGTGAGACCGTGCTTCCAACGGCATCTTTTTTTTAAAGTGCCACCTCACTTGAACGCTACATCACATGTACCGTAACATCCACCCCAGACCATTTTATAAAATACTCCACCTGGGTTGTTGAAGTTGTGTGATTATTCAAAGACATTTTTCTGTCATTAATTTTTAAATAACAGTTAAATACTGGTCCCGAGTAATACTGTTTTCCAAGTTAAAAACCAATTATGATTTTACTATAAGTTATTATTTTCTATAATCAGGAACATTTATTTTTTCAGGAAAAAGCATTGTATTATGACCCTAATACAGGAACATATTTTTACTACAACTCAGAGACTGGCAAATATGATTTCCACTCCCTAGTAGATTTGTCACAATACAGTACAGGCCAGGATTCCCAGCAGTATAACAACTATTATGGTCAGGACCATTCCTCCAGTGACAGGGGAGGTAATTACGACCTGACGAGGAAAGATTATCAAGCTCATTCTAGCCACAGACACAGTGATTCTGGGTATGACCAATATCACCGACCATTACCAAGGAGAGACAGGGAGACATCCAGATCAAGCAAGTCTTATGAAGAGTATGATCATCATATATCATCCCAGAGGAGGGACAAGGAAGGATCAAGTAGAATGGATAGTGGCAAAAAGAAAAAGACAAAACGACTGCAGACAGAGGAAATGGTTTGTTATCAGAATCATCCTATTAGCTCTAAACAATTTTTGATGTACATTATATTAAATTGTAATGTGAAAAGTAATAAAAATAAATATCTAATATTGCACAGAAAAAAATGAATATAATTGTAATGACATTTATCAAAATTGTTTAAACAAAGCTGTGATTATTTTCATATGCATGTATGTTTTTTTTTTTATTATTTTGACTGTAGTACTGTTTTATCGATGTTGTTCATTTTATCCTACAACAGAGCCAACCTTTATACACAACAATTAGTTTCGAGCACATAAACTCATACAAATTTTTTACCCAGTTACTTCCCTTTGACCATACTGAATAGTCTGTGTCTGATATTGAGAAATTTGGGGTATTTTGTGATGCTGGAGACACATATTTATGGTCCCATAGAATTGCTACCTAAAAAATATCTCATACTTATATACTGGTAAAAAGTTTCTTTGTATTCAAGTTTATTTACAATGAAGAATTTTAATATTGATATTAATGTAAAAAGTAGATATCAGTATTTTAGAAAAAAATCTGTTTGACCAATTTTAGGAAAGATAAATCATAAATGTGTTTTACCTTTTTCATTAGGATAAGGAAGAGTATGAGGGAGTTATTTCAGCCCTAGAAGGTCTTAGAATCAAAACAGCCAAGGAAACAGCGCTAGGTAAATATTTACTTTTATATAACTTTCCTATCTTATTTTTCTAACAGTCACATTTTATTTCAGGAACATCACAAACGGAAGAAAAAGAAGAAAGATAAAGATAAAAAGAAAAAAAAGAAGAAATCTTCCAGAGAGAAAAGGAGAGATAAAACGTCAGAGAGGAAAAGTGAGAAAAAGAAGAAAGATGATGGCAGGAGAAAGGGAAAGGAGAGCAGAGAGGAATCTGAGGATGGTGAAGTGAGGTCAAATGACAGTAAAGAAAGGGATGTCAAAAGCAAAGAAAAAGACAAAGACAACAAAGAAAACAGCAATAGTGATGAGGATATGGAAAATTACAATTTGGAAGGGAAGTCGTACATGGGTGAACTGTATGAGAGTTTGGATGAGAACAGCAATAACCAAGTGACTTCTGAGGAGGCACCTGGGACGGATGATTTATACGATGATTTGGATGATGACAAAAGTGCCGGAAAGTTTGAGTCTGGGGATGATGTTTCATCCAAAAGTACAGAGAATCATCTGAAAGTTGGGGATCAAAAACACAACTTTGACAATCACTCCAACATGGACCATTCTCCGACAGATAGGGATGATAGAAATACTACACACAGTAAAATATCAGGTAGTTCACAACACCATTCCGCCGACATCAGTACTAGTCGCAGTAAAAACACACAGTATTTAAGGTGGAAAAAGACACATAGTTCTAAAGACAGTTCTTGCGATACTTCTAGAAAACTCAGGGAAAAGGAAAGTAGGTCTAAAGATTGTTCTTCTGATAGTGATTCTGCACGTAGCAGAAAGTCACAACATCATGAAAAAGAGTCTTGGAATACAGATATTAGACACAAGAAAAAAACAGCTTTTTCTAAAGAACACAAAACTAAGACAAGCATATCAGGCAGTTCACGCAAACATGAAAGTGCTAGGCCTGGTTATCATAAACAGTCCAGTAACCAACATAGTAAATGTCGGATTAAGTCGAAGGAAACATTTGGTGAAAAACAAGGCCAAGACATAGACATTCATGGAATATCAGGTAAAATGCATAGCAAAAAAATAGGTAAGCATGGCAAAAGGTCGACATCCAGTAGACATGAAAGTGTAAGAAAAACATCTGTGAAATCTCGGAGGCAAGCGTTTTCGTCTGACAGTGATAGTTACAGCGAAAGTAGTAATAGTCTCTGTACTGGTGAGTCGGAGCTGGAATCAGGGGAGATAACCAGTAGTTCAGAGGAGGAACCTGTTCCTATGCAGTGTGATGATTACGAGGATAGCCAGGAACGCTATGGAGAAAGTCACTCAAATGATGTCATTATGGCTGAGGAAGGTACATAGTTCCTAGTAACAGTTTGTATTGATATATATGGCAGTACATACATTGACGTACATATTCCATTCTTAGAAGATTGATATTGATTAAGATCTTCTGAATGAAAATCAGTTCTGTGATACAGGTATTAACTTGTATATATTCTCTTAAAAAGACTAATTTAACCATAACATCAGAAAAATATTAATGAAATCAGTATTTGTACATGTACATGTATGTTCAGTAGAATTTGTTGTTACATATATATCACTTTTGATGTAACTTATACACGTTCTTAATGTCTCATTAGTGTTGTCTATATGTGTTACTTTGTGTTTGCTATTCATGCATACTATGTAATGTATCTAGTATACATTCTGTCAAAATGGTCATTGATTATACTTGCTCTTTAATAGAAGACTTTCTGTATACATCGCAGTGTTAAGTTTACAGTCAATGATGTTATTGAACTTCATAGAAGATGTGTCATTACCTTATATTATGTCATGTACAACTTAGATGTCTGCCTCAAAGATCAAAGCTACTGCAATAAGTCATCTTAAAGGATATGTATCTAAAAATTACCAATGTGTCTTGGTAGGGGGTATGTATTGTACCATGACAATGTTTCTTGGCAGGGGGTATGTATTGTACCAGGACAATGTGTCTTGGTAGGAGGTATGTATTGTACCATAACAATGTGTCTTGGTAGGTGGTATGTATTGTACCATTACAATGTGTCTTGGTAGTGGGTAGGTATTGTACCATGACAATGAGTCTTGGTAGGGGGGATGTATTGTACCATGGCAATGTGTCGTAGTAGGGGTTATGTATTGTACCATGAGAATGTTTCGTAGTAGGGGGAATGTATTGTAACATGACAATGTTTCGTAGTAGGGGGTATGGATTGTACCATGACAATGGGTCTTGGTAGGGGGTATTTATTGTACCATGACAATTTGTCGTAGTAGGGGGTATGTTTTGTACCCTGAAAATGTGTCTTGGTAGGGTGTATGTATTGTACCATGCCAATGTGTCGTAGTAGGGGGCATGTATTGTACCATGACAGTGTGTCGTAGTAGGGGGTATGGATTGTACCATGACAATGTTACGTAGTAGGGGGTATGTACTGTACCATGACAATGTGTCGTGGTAGGGGGTATGTATAGTACCATGACAATGTGTCCTGGTGGGGGGGAACTATTGTACCATGACCATGTTTCGTAGTAGGGGGTATGGATTGTACCATGACAATGAGTCTTGGTAGGGGGGATGTATTGTACCATGACAGTGTGTCGGAGTAGGGGGTATGTATTGTACCATGACAATGTGTCGTAGTAGAGGACATGGATCAGTACCAGACAATGTGTCACAATATATGGAACATACCATTGGTACTTACAGAACTGGTGAGTCAATGGCCGCCATGCATCCGTGTGATTGTAACGGACTCGGACACCATTGATCCTGGGAATCTGTTCATCATCACCTGTACTGGAGCCACAGTAGGCCGAGAGAAAGAGATGGGCCACACTATCCTCATCCCTGACATCAATGTCAGCAAGGTATGTACATTTGTGATAAGTCTGATTATACCACTCTCTTTGGTACAGTACAACATGTCCCACAGGACACTGTGGTAACTTCATGGGAGACCGCTGTGGTTACTTCTTGGGGGTGGGGGGTGGGGGGTGGGGGCACTGTGGTAACTAAGCTTCCTGGGAGACCGCTATGGTAACTTCTGTGGTAACTTCCTGGGAGATTACTTTGGTAACCTGTCCTGTGGGACCACAGAGGTAACATGTCCTCCTGGACCATTGGTAAAAGAGAACATGTCCTTTTGTTGGAACACAGTGTGGTAACACATCTTGGGGGATCAGTGGTATATAAATCAGGTCCAGTCCACCGATAGGTGAAGAGGGGCTTCATAACCCCATAAATACAATATGAACAGACAGATCTAATTGTTGATTTAATTATTCTACCGTTAAAACCAAGGTGGACAAAATGCAATTAACAAAGTTAGCAATTGAAGAACAGAAAAGAGTAGTATTGCCAGCCCTTATGATGAAAAAATGTCATACACTACAGCTTGCATTGTGCTCTATATTCTGCTCTCCATATTTCATATTATGCAGGTTAGAAGACAAATAAGCAAGTAATTGCTGGTCATATCACAGGGTTGTTTTACTTGTTTTGTTTTAATTTTATTGAGATGCCAATATTTTATGATGTATCATAATGTAAAGAGTGCTCATTTCTGATAAAATGCAGTTATGCCTGAAAGATCCACCCTGATATAACAAGTCTTTCTGCAGAAACTAGCAACTTTTTGAGGAAATGACATTTCAGATTTTTTTCTGCCATAGCAGTGTGGCAACCTTTTGATGTTTTGGTCCACAGGGTTTGACACAGGGAGACCAAAAATGATTTATGTATTCTGTACATTTCAAAACCATTAATGTTGTGTACAGTTTTAGGATAAAAAAAATAACCATTAATTCCTTATTCCAGGCTCATGCAGAAATCCAGTTTGATGAGAAAGAGTATAAATACTACCTTACAGACTTATCTAGCCAGAACGGCACCTTCCTTAACGAGGAGCGTGTGTCCGAGGTAAGATATGACCTTTGATCATACAATTACCATCTTGTGAAGGAAGTGAATATATCCAGGTAGGCCACTGGTGGTAAACGTAACTCCTCAAATAACAGCCATTTGACATGATCAGTATTAAGACAGTAGACATGACATTGTGATGTTGCATGGAAGCCGAATTATACAGTGTATACAACATGGTGATGTTAAACACAATGATCAGGGCAAAAATTTGCATACATGTTTTGTAATGTGATTAAAAAAGGATCCTGATGTCATTTCCATTTGATGCAAGATTATGTCTCAAACATTTCTCTTTAGCTTGGCAGAACTTCACTCAAATGAAAACTTTGAATACTTGTTTCATGAATCTCAAATGGAATAGAAATTTATTTCAGATCCAATATTTAATATTTGGTCATGCGCTGTTTTAAGTGTAATATCATTGCACATGGAATATGTAACTTGTATAACAGTGATAACCAATGACTCTTCAAGGCTTTTACTGCTTAATTTGCTCTTGTAGCCTAAGGTAAAGAGTAAACCTATGGTGCTGAGTCATGGGGATACTCTGCAGTTCGGCTGTACTCGTCTGCTTCTACACATTCACGATGGCACAGACACTTGTGATGAGTGTGAACCAGGACAGGTGCAGGCTCAGCTACAGGCCCAGAACCAGCCAAAGAAAGGTAAGTACAGATGTACTAACCTCTAAAGAGTGGGAGCCGGGACAGGTGAAGCTCAGCTACAGGCCCAGACCCAGCCACAGAAAGGTAAGTACAGATGTACCAACCTCTAAAGAGTGTAAGCCAGGACAGGTGAAGCACAGCTACAGGCCCAGAACCAGCCACAGAAAGGTAAGGACAGATGGACCAACCTCTAAAGAGTGTGATACGGGACAGGTGCAGACTCAGCTACAGGCCCAGACCCAGCCACAGAAAGGTAAGTAAAGATGCACCAACCTTTAAAGAGTGTGAACCAGGGCAGGTGCAGGCTCAGCTACAGGCCCAGAACCAGACACAGAAAGGTAAGTACAGATGGACCAACCTCTAAAGAGTGTGATCCGGGACATGTGCAGGCTCAGATACAGGCCAAGAACCAGCCACAGAAAGGTAAGGACAGATGGACCAACCTCTAAAGAGTGTGAGCCAGGACATGTGCAGGCTCAGCTACAGGCCAAGAACCAGCCACAGAAAGATAAGTACAGATGTACCAACCTCTGAAGAGTGTGAGCCGGGACATGTGCAGGCTCAGTTACAGGCCAAGAACCAGCCACAGAAAGATAAGTACAGATGTACCAACCTCTGAAGAGTGTGAGCCGGGACATGTGCAGGCCCAGCTACAGGCAAAGAACCAGCCACAGAAAGGTAAGGACAGATGGACCAACCTCTAAAGAGTGTGATACAGGACAAGTGAAGCTAAGCTACAGGCCCAGAACCAGCCACAGAAATGTAAGTACAGATGTACCAACCTCTAAAGAGTGTGATACGGGACAGGTGCAGCCTCAGCTACAGGCCCAGAACCAGCCACAGAAAGGCAAGTACAGATGTCCCAACCTCTAAAGAGTGTGAGCCAGGACAGGTGCAGGCTCAGCTACAGGCCCAGACCCAGCCACAGAAAGGTAAGTACAGATGTCCCAACCTCTAAAGAGTGTGAGCCAGGACAGGTGCAGGCTCAGCTACAGGCCCATAACCAGCCACAGAAAGGTAAGTACAGATGTCCCAACCTCTAAAGAGTGTGATACGGGACAGGTGCAGGCTCAGCTACAGGCCAAGAACCAGCCACAGAAAGGCAAGAACAGATGTACCAACCTCTAAAGAGTGTGATACGGGACAGGTGAAGCCAAGCTACAGGCCCAGAAACAGCCACAGCCAGGTAAGTACAGGTGCCCCAACCTCTAAAGAGCGTGATACGGGACAGGTGCAGGTTCAGCTACAGGCCAAGAACCCGCCACAGAAAGGTAAGTACGGATGTCCCAACCTCTAAAGAGTGAGCCGGGACAGGTGCAGGCCCAGCTACAGGCCCATACCCAGCCACAGAAAGGTAAGTCCAGATGTCCCAACCTCTAAAGAGCGTGAGCCGGGACAGGTGCAGGCCCAGCTACAGGCCCAGAACCAGACACAGAAAGGTAAGTACAGGTGTACAGACACCTAAAATGAGTGGGACTTGTACAGGTATGGGCCCAACCTCTAAAGAGTGTGATCCGGGACAGTGGCAGGCTCAGCTACAGGCCCAAACCCAGCCACAGAAAGGTAAGAACAAATGTCCCAACCTCTAAAGCGTGTGATACGGGACAGGTGCAGGCTCACCTACAGCCCAAGAACCAGCCACAGAAAGTTAAGTACAGATGTACCAACATCTAAAGAGTGTGAGCCGGGACAGGGGCAGGCTCAGCTACAGGCCAAGACCCAGCCACAGAAAGGTAAGAACAAATGTCCCAACCTCTAAAGCGTGTGATACGGGACAGGTGAAGATCAGCTACAGGCCCAGAACAAGCCACAGAAAGGTAAGTACTGATGTACCAACCTCTAAAGAGTGGGAGCCGGGACAGGTGCAGGCCCAGATACAGGCCCAGAACCAGCCACAGACAGTTAAGTACAGATATACAGACACCTTAAATGAGTGTGACTCATACAGGTATGGGCTCAGCTATACACACCCAGAACCAGCCACAGACAGTTAAGTACACTACAGGCCAAGAACCAGCCACAGAAAGTTAAGTACAGATGTACAGACACATAAAATGAGTGTGACTTGTACAGTGATGGACTCGGCTACTCTCCCAGAACCAGCCACAGACAGTTAAGTACACTACAGGCCAAGAACCAGCCACAGAAAGGTAAGTACAGATGTACCAACCTCTAAAGAGTGTGAGCCGGGACAGGTGCAGGCTCAGCTACAGGTCCAGAACCAGCCACAGAAAGGTAAGTACAGATGTACAGACACCTAAAATGAGTGTGACTTGTACAGGTATGGACTCGGCTACACTCCCAGAACCAGCCACAGACAGGTAGGTACAGATGTACAGACACCTAAAATGAGTGTGACTTGTACAGGTAGGGACTCGGCTACACTCCCAGAACCAGCCACAGACAGGTAGGAACAGATGTACAGACACCTAAAATGAGTGTGACTTGTACATGTATGGACGCGGCTACACCCCCAGAACCAGCCACAGACAGGTAGGTACAGATGTACAGACACCTAAAATGAGTGTGTCTTGTACGGGTTTGGGCTCAGCTATACACACCCAGAACCAGCCACAGACAGGTAAGTACAGATGTACCTATATCTTTAAAGACTGTACACAGGCACTTTTAAGGCCTCAAATGCTCCAAGATCAGTCACATTTGTTTTATATGTTAACTCTAGAAAACTTTATTTGTTTATATGTTAACTCTAGAAAACTTTATTTGTTTATATGTTATGAATTTTAAAATCCAGTGTTATTTATTGAATGAGATTGTGATATCAGGAACGATACTTACAGTATTCATGGGCCATTTTGTAGTAGTTTTCGTTTATCAGTTGTTGGAGTATGTTCAACACTTTTGATTGAAGTCCTTTTTGTCATATATTATGGTATATTAAAAGAATGTATGGAGTATTAACATTCTACATTCATTTAGGAATGTTCCTTACAGTCAAATGAACATTTTGTACTAAAATAATCATTATACTGCTGTGATTTAATGATGCTGCAATGACACTGAGTAATATATCACCAATTAAAACCCATTGTTGGTTTGGTTTTTGTTCACAGAAATTGTTATTCTGAGTAAGGAAGAAAAACTAAGGCAACAAAGACAAGAGCTGAAGAAGATAAAAAAGAAATATGGACTCAAGGTATGAATTGTTTTGAATAATGGTGTCATATGTCATCTATGAAACTAAAGTATATACTGGCAGTTTTGACTTACCGTAAAAACCCTTGTAATTTGCACACTTTTTTTCCAGAAATTTAATACCCAAAGTGGTGTGTGTGCAAAATACATAGGTATAAGCAATTTCAAGGGTTTTTTCAGAAAAAATCGACGATTTTGGCAGACTGCCATCTTGGACACGAGATAATCTCCCTTGGTACACGGAACTCAAAGACAAACGACTATCAACACATTTATTTATATCAAATATCAATAAAAGACACAATTGATATATACTGTGTTGTTACCCGAGTTTATGTGAAAAGTATTATTAAATAGGTAACTGTTAACAAAGAAAGTTTAGCCAAATTCCTGTCTATGCCAGAGAATCACCGATCAACTTTCGTTTCGACATCTCGGTGTGTTTTCCCCCCACTATTACGAAAATGTAGTTGTTCAATTTAAGCTCCGTTCCATGTTAGTTCTGTTATCTTTTTTTCAAATCGCCTGTGCGTACAGCATGTTTTTTATGTTGATCTCGCGTCTAACACTACGTTAACACGTGATTGATAATAACCTCATGAATTATTTCAATATTTGTTAAATGAAGCATCGTAAAAATAGTCTGCTTTGATTTTTTTCCCCCTTGGAGTAGATTTGAAGAGGATGTATTGATTATCCACGCTTCTAGTATAAACATATTTTTTTTATAATCCCTTATCGGTCAAATCAGTCTGTAGTTATGACAATGCAGTAGGGCTTCGTAATTCACGACATGTGTTGGTGAATGAAAAAAAAAACAACACGGTCCGTCGATCGCGACTGCAAATCATTTCAATTAGTAGAGCTATTGTTAACCGGTAATCACAGATATAGTGTTAGCTAATTACTGCATTGTAATTTGTATTGACTGTAGTGTTGAGAAGTTTCAATAATTTACGCTGAAGCATGCAATCCTACCTGGCCTATTGTCCGGGACCAGACAATGTTGTTGAAGTTATGCCCTCCGGTTAACTTACCTGTTTATGTCGCCAAACCAGCAGTCATGACCACAGATGACCGATTTTAATAATTTTACAGTAGGTAAAAATTGTGTGGCCAAAAAATATCGCTGAACTGTGACATGACCTGGTTTGAAGTGACGATACCCAAGCCGCCATGATGGGCCCTTCTCACTTATTGTAATTATGGTAATAAATGGTGTTAAATTATGTCTTTCACCAGGAGATATGCACCAGCTGTTACAACACATTAACACTAATTAATTGGTATGTTTTTGTAAGCAAGTAAACGTTTTATGTAAAATGTAGCTGAAATTAATTGATGAACATGCCGACACGTGTGTGTTATGTGTAATCAGATAATCAAAAGAAAACAAACAACAAAATACACATTTTACATAGTTTCTTCTTGGTTTATAATATCGTTTTACGTCAATGACAAAAGTTCATAAGAAATATGTTTAAAAAATAATAATTTTAGAGATCGGTTTTCAGAGCATGAACATCGTTTTTTTCCCAATTTTTTTGGGTGCGCAAAATATTCGAGTAGAAGCTTTTTTCCAGATTTTCAGCCTCAAAAAGTACCTGCCCAAATAACATGGTGCGCAAATTACATGGGTTTTTACGGTACCTTAAATTATGATGTTATAATTCACATCTTATGTCGCTATCTATTTACACCACCTATAAAACATGACCAACAGTGCTGTTTTATCCTAAATACTGACATTAATTGTCACTATCTAAGATATTGACCTTGGTAGAAATATTGCTTTCCATGACCATGTTCTTGTTAAATGTTTGAAATTAAATGGAAAAGTAGAACATATAGAGGCAAATTGTCACTTTGTTGAAAAGCTTATACAATGTATATGTATATTAATGTAACACATTTTCACATCCTGCAAAATACAAAAATGTCCAGGCTTTAAATCTTCATGTCTTCAGGAGTATGTCTGCTTTGATGTCAGTTTTGGGAATGAAATCTTAAACATGGAGACACATTTACATTTTCTCTTTCCGTCTTTAGACAAGAGGAAAAGTAAAAAGTAGATATTTTTTGTTCGCTAGAATTCTGCTTATGTTGACAACATGGGGGCCATCAACAACCCAGCATATAATGACAAGGCTGACGAAAGGAGGAAAACGGTCGGCAGTGATAATCCATATCAACCTGACGAGGTCCCTGCTTCTGTGCACAGGTACAACTTTTATTATGTATCATCATTCCTTACTGATCCCTGACCAATCCAGACACTGGAGTAAACTTAGAGTAGAATCTATCATACTTAAATAGCGTTCACTAGTTTTTAATGCAAAATATTCAGTTGGTTCTCACTCTTCTTACATCATTATATTCTGCCCTTTTTTCACCTCAGGAGAAGACAAAAATATCTTGTAAAACCACAGATGAAAAAGAGAAATTCTATGACTTTAAGAAATTGAGGAAATTATAGGAACACAACAAAAGTAATACACTTAGTAGGCATACTTAGTATGACAATTTGACTTGTTTCTGCTAAAACTGTAGTACATTAAGATGTGAAGAGATCAATATTTTCAATCATATTTATTTCAAAATCGTCTTTTTTTGGGAAGACTCTGCGATTATGGTAAAATGATGTAAAAATACATAAGAATGGTTGGATAATTTATTCATAATCTCAAAATCATTAAAAGCAATTGATTGGGATTAAGTGTAGGTTCTAACATATGGATCTAGATGTCAATGAAATCTTAGCTTTACTTAAATAATCTGTATAGTGAAATCTCGAACAAAACAATTGTGGTGACTGAAAGCTGTTTATTTTGAATATCCGGTTTGGTACCTATAGTGTTATTTTGATTGCTTTGAGTTATGATTATATATAATATCTGTGATATCTTTTTGTTTTACAGACCTATCTCTGAAGAAAACAAAGGACACAAGATGCTGAAGAAGTTAGGATGGACAGAAGGGGACAGTCTTGGAAAGGATAATGAGGGAATTAGACAGCCTGTAAGTACACAATGGTTTGGGAATAAATTTAGGCAGATCTGTAAAATATTACTATAAACCTATAATTCCAAAGACCTGAAATGTTTATAACAAGTTAAAGAAGCGGATCTTTTGGCTCTTTGTGAAGATAATGACTGAGTTACTTCCCTTTAACTGCTACCTAACACGATATTTCATTGTCATGTCTTGAAGGGAAAAAATATGGACATGTCATAGTTAATGGTAGCTCGATAGACCTAAAGATGCTACTTGATGACAAGACTTCTGTCTGATACCTTTAACACACATGTAAATGACTAATCTCAAACTTATACATCATTTTGTTGCATGACCTTCAGTTTATACATTAACTGATTAACGAGATCTAAACTTTCCGTCAACACCAAAATGGATCACACTGTGATGAAGTGATTAAAGTAGTTACTGGGAAAGGTAGGGCAGTTAAGAGGGTAAGAAAGATAATTCGTTACTATGGTAACAGTGTGTTACAAAAAAGATGGAGTATAATTTGATCATTCCTTTCTAAGCCTTGTGCTGGAATCATTTTGAGTTCAAAGCATGTGAATGTAGAGGCTGGTATTAACTATTTAGGCAGCCATCAAGCTACCTGTGGTTTGTGACAAGTGCAGTAAAAAGCTGTTGAAATAAAGCATTATTCCAAGGAAATGATTGCTGTGCTACTTGAAAGTTTTTTTGTTAGAAATACATTGTGATGTGTATGGCAATGTAACACACGTATCACGATAGATACATATTACCACCACCCTTGTGATGCATGCATCTGACTGCAGTACTTAAATTCGAATGTGAATTTTGGATTTTTCTATAATTAAGTTATTAGAAGCAATATGGAATGTCTAGTATTTGTAACTGAAGTACTGTGACTTCTCCATTTGCTGTTTATTATAGTTATATAATTTCAGTGGAATGATTTTGATATAATCATTTGATTTGATTACATTTTAAGTTCTAAAATTGGTACCATGCCGAGAAGACACAAGAGATAATCTGTGTTTTCCTCCGCCTAGAGTATTCAAACTTGTACATTACAGAACTAAGAAACATAAGGCTACATTTCAGGTTGTTACATCCTCTATATCCAGGGGTTACACTCACTTTTGCTCTCCAAACCCCTGGAATATGTCATAGCAAAATTGAAGGCACAAAAATAGCTGTTTGATTGGTCTCGGGTAAAAAAAACACCTGACAAATAGCAAAGCTGATACCTGTCCTTTGAAGATTACAAAGGAGCGACACTCGACTTCAAAGCCTGTCAATTTTTACCGTTAAGTGACCTGGATATCATGGATGGGTTGTTACAGACTAGGACAATTTTAAAGGTCGCAATTCTCATATAGAAACTTTCAATCTCTTCACATTTGCTCGATTATAGTAATACCGCCCATAATGCGGTTGGGGTGGGTATACTGGAATTGGGTTACATGTCTTCCTGTCTGTAAACACAATTTCAACACAGTTCAGGTTTTCCTTCGATCTCGAACTTGAGCACTGGTTCCCACAACATGCTGACATATTCAATTTTGATGTAACTTGGTAAGCATGCACAATATACAAGGAGTAGGGGTGACTATTGCGTGTATTTTTCACAATAAATTCTGCAAAGCTATTACTATTGGGGAAAACACTATTGCGATAGTTCAATTATTGTGGTATACTATCACAATAGTACTGCAATAGTATTCATGGATGCTTCAGTTACCCAAGTTCTTTCTGTCAACTCTCTGTTGGTGCGTTGGTGTAAGGTCATTTTTGTCTTAAATATGCAAGTTATTCAATAGCAGTCGTAGATTAATGGTATGACGTTGACAACGGTGAGTTAAGTTAGTCACCATGATGTCTGCTAGCGTATTTATCAAATGTTCCCACATCACTGAGTATAGAGTATAGCATAACAGTTATGCAATTAAAACGCACATACGTCTGAGACTGATATCGGATAGTGACTACCGCGCTTGACTCCTCGTATGAGTGCGTGTTAATGATAACGACTGAATTTTCAGTACTCGTAATCGCGTGGTGTGATATTGAAAACCGTGAGTGTTAGTAGTTTTGAAACTGTCGATTGTTTAGCATACTATCGATGATTGTTATCAAGTTTATGAAGTTGTCATCGATTAATCAAACGGAGAGGTGTACAATCACAATCTATCGATAGTACGTTGTATCCTCACACCACTAATAAGGACTGAAGCAAAGTACAAAGTAGAGAAAAATCTGTGCTTAAGGATTTTGCATAATAACTGAATACAAGTACACCTTGTGTATTTAGGAGGCACGGTAGTCTAGTGGTAGGATGCCGAGCTCATGACCAAATGGTTGCGGGTTTGAGTCACGGCACTGTGTTGTATCTTTGAGCAAGATACTTTACTCCGCTTGTTCCAGTCTACTCAGCTGTGAATGAGAACGTGGCTGGTCAGTGCTAAAATTGTAGAATGCTAGCTGTGAGCGCCGAAATGGCAGCACTGGCTGTATGCTCCCATGGGAATTGAGAAAGATATTGGCAAGTTGCAAAGGCCCTATAACCACGGATAATAATTTGTGAACCACTTTGAGACGACCTACAAACTAGGTTGTGATAAAGTGGTATATAAGAACCTCAAATTATTATTATTGTTAACATGACCAGATTCTGATGGAACAAAATTTAGCTTACCTGCCCCAAAGGGACAAGTGAGTTTATGCCCTGGCACCGTGTCCATCATCCATAGTCTTCCCATTGTCAATGTTTCTTTAAAATAACCTCTTCTAAAGAACATAAAGGCCTACAGTCTTGATATTTGATTGGCAGCTTTCTTGGATGGTGACCAAAAAAGACCTTGACCTTTTTTCAAGGTCACGGAAGTCAAATAAAACTTCAAACAACTTCTTTTGAAGAACTGCATGAATGCCTAGAGTCATGATACCTGGCAGGTATACAAAGTTTGTAAATAAAAATGACCTTTATCCACTTTCAAGGTCACAGGGGTCAAATCTGTTAAAAACTTCAAATAACTTCTTATGAAGAACCAAAAGACTTAGGGTCATGATATTTGGTGAGTAGATTCCTGAGATAGGGCCAGGCAAAGTTTGTGAACAAAAATGACCTTAACGTACTTTCAAGGTCATAGTAACTTCTTCTTAAGAACCGAAAGGCCTTAAGCCATGATATTTGGCTGGTAGCTTCTTGAAAAAAATACCTTGACCTACGTTCAAGGTCACAGTAGTTAAAAGTAGCTATAAAGGCCCCTGGTCCTCTTGTTATATCATACAATGTGTGCATTATCGATTTGCATAATGTGCTCTGATCGGTCAATGGTTTCTGCACAATTACTTTATTAAATAAGACTAGATTTTGATCAGTCTTGATCAAATTTTTACAAAGGCGTAGATTAATTTCAAAGGAGGAAAATTTGTAACGAAGAAGCACTTAGAAATTTTTTTGTTTAAAGTTCTTTTGTTTTAATTGTTTAAGATGAAATATTTATGGGGAAAGGGAGGCAATATACCTGTACAATAACTTTTCAATGCTGAAATATTGGCAAAGGGAGGCAGTTTCTGTACAATTAGAAAATTAATCATTCCGCCAGTGAAGTTAAATACAATTATATCTACTCATTTGAACACATCCTAGGAAAGAATTTAACTTTACTGAAAAATAAAGTACAAATGTAGCATACAATTTGGCATGCTACATATGTAAAGTCTTACACAAATTTTAGGCCATCTCCCTTTCTTAGCTAAATGGTTTTCTATTGATGTGATAAAAACGAAGGGAAAGATCCTTCTGCTTCATTTTGTTAAAACGTGGTCTGAATATGTACTCATGTAAGTTTCAATAAAATACAAAATGTTAGACTCTGAGTTCACATGACCCACTTGTTTTCAGAAGAAAAAAATACAGAAATCTCGGTTAAGAAATGGTTACCATATTTTTTTTAATCGTGACACAGAATTTGCATTTCAAATTTATAATCACAAAAGGGTTTGATTACAAATATTTGTATATCATTGCATACGACGTGGATGACAACATCGAGACTATTCATAGATGTTAAAAAAAATCCTTTCATGTATTTTAGAGGAAATGTATGTACATCATGCAATTTTTCACAAATAAATCATTTAGAAACTCCATTTTATCTTGAAATCAACACCGAATTAATTTCTGGATCCACCTCTTATCAGTTACTGGAAAGGCATTTCAGTCTGGAAAAACTGCAATATATTGTCTTACCTACATTCAAAGGTTGGAGGAGATTATGAGAAAACATTATATCATTTTCCTCTTGAATGTAAACAAATTATCAAATAACTTAAAGTGTCACAGGTTCAAAATCATCTTAATTCTTCAATTTTTTTTTTTGATTCCACTCGTCTAAAATTCCCACAGCCAATCATATTCATGTAGAGATTAGATTTAAGGGTGAGACTCCAAACTTTATAAAACCCATCTGAACTGAATCTCAAAGTCTACAACACTAACAGTTCAATCTGCCATCTCCGTGGTCAGTTATAATCACTGTAATGGTTTAACATTTTGCTATATTCTCAGTTGATATATTCCCATGAAAAACATATTTGGTGAAAATATTTGTCATATTTGAGAGAAAAAGTTTAGGAGCACAATTTACAAATCGTGAAACTGAAAAGAAAATGAAGTCTGTGAAATATGATTGAGTATAATTAGCTCATGAAATATTGAACAAACGAAGAAGAAAAGCTTTAGAATATATGCTGTATTTTTCTGTCTAATCCATTCACCCCTAAAGTCACGTTTGAACCTTACCAAATCAAAAGCAGAGCAATGCAAGTTCAGTTTACAAATATAGGGGTGAATGAGTATAAAAGTCTCTTGTCTCCCATATGCACCCAACATTCATTTTCTGCTCCAAGTATACCATTCGTTTACTTAATTTTCGGACTTCCTTGAAAAATACCTATTATTGCTATGTTTAGAGAATTTTTTGAAGATTCTAATATCATCTTTACCCAGAGACCTT